AAAAAAAAAAAAAGAAAAGAATGCATAAAAACTCATCAAAGTCAGGCAAATAAAAAAAATGAAATTCCAGAAATGGCAAGAGTATATACAAATATATAAAAATATATGAAATAGTTTAAAAAATAAACAATCTTTTAAAAATGTGATCACTAATAACATTAAATAAAAATTAGAAATGATCATATAAATGCAAAAATTTGACTTACAGTCCAGGCACCTCTGAAAGCTATTTCTTACATGTGCCTAAAATGATCTACCCCAAACTATCACATGAATCATACTTGAATTGGAAATGCTGTAGAGACAAAAGCTTAATATCTTCATAATATAAAAAAGAATTTAAACAATTTCACAAAATCTCCAAGGCCTAATAGATAAATGAACAAATGAAAGCTATACATGTATTTGTATGTATAGATATCTGTATGTGTGTCTTACAAATCAAATAAATACCAAAACCTAAAATGCAATAAAATAAATAAATGGGAAAAAAAAAACCAAATCAAAGAAATAAGATAAAATGTAATGCTATTATTTTTCTGTTAAATTAGAAAAAAAAGTTTTACAATTTTTACTACCCAAACTGGCTAAGGCTCAGTGAAATTGGCATTTTTATACACTGCTGGAGGGAATATAGACTGATTCAAACCTTAAAGAAAACATTTTGAAATTATGTATCAAGAATTGTAAGTGCATGCCTTTTGGTGCAATAATATTGTTGGAATTCTATTTTTACAGAAGTTTGCAGCATAAAAATATTCATCATACTTTTCAGTAGTAGATTTTTTACAAGATCTACTACTGAAATCTTGAAACAATTTCAATACCAAACATTAGGTTTAAGTATAATGTATGTACATGATGGACTGTAATAACAGTTATTAAATATCAATAGAAGCATTTATAACATTGGGAAAACTTTTCTTAAAAATACTAAGTGCAATAATGGTAAATTGCATAGTACAACATCATAAAAGTAGTTGCTTTTGATTTTTAAAAGAGCTTTAAAAAGCTCTCAAGCTCTCTCTCTAGATTTTGAAGTACCTTATGTTATACATATTATATATATTTTTGATAAAACATCAAATGGCATAGAAAGCTGAAGAAATAAGTTATTAAAATTTTTGAAAACTAGCATTGACTCATAAGAGGGCAACTAAAGAAATAAAGAATTCTAATACTTCCCTTATCTAATCACTCATTTTTATAAATAACTCGAATTTTTTCATAGATGTGATTCTCAAGGAGGTATAGTTAAGTAAGTGAAGGGTCTTGATTAAATTTCTTGAACTATGTATAACGCTATCATGAAATGGAAACTTCTTAAGACTTTCCATCCAGGCAGTTGATAACACATCTTGCCTGCTTGACTTTGATCAGGGCTGGCCATACTGATTGAATTCTGGTAATCATGAAATAACCAGAAGAAAAATTAATGCTCTGGTGCTCTCATCAAGTTTAGAGTGAGTGAGGTTAGTAATGATGAAGTGGGAAATATTAAGAGATACACAATAAATGGTCAAAAAATAGAAGCAATGTAGTACAATGGGATATGAAGAGATAATATTTGGGGAAGAATACAGCAGATGGAGACAAATAGAGTTGATTTCTATTTCCACAATATGCACATATTTTTTTAACCTCTCAGTCCATTTCTGCTTGGCTTTCTACCTTGTCTCATCTAGATAGTCTCCTAAATACTCTCTCCAGCTTTTTCTGAATCAAATACATATGGATGGTCCCTGGCTTGTGACAGTTTGACTTATAACTGTTTGACTTTATGTTAGTGAGAAAGTGACACGCATTCAGAAGAAACTGTACTTGAGTACAGTAATGAATATATTACATGAGTTTTTCAGTACTTTATTATAAAATAAGCTTTGCATTACGTGATTTTACTATAAGCTAATGAAAGTGTTCTGAGCACATTTAAGGTAGGCTAGGCTAAGCTATGATGTAAGGTAAATTAGGAATATTAAATGCATTTTTGACTTATGATGGATTTATCAGGACATAATCCTATTATAAGTTAGCATCTGTACATTTTTAAACTATGTTTTCCTATTTTCACTTCATTCATACTGCCATCCCTGGGCTTCGTATCCATGTTTAGATCACCCAGATCACAGGTGCTTAAAAACAAAGAATTTTGGGAGAGGAGTTGAATCTGGGAAGCATTATAGAGTAAATATGATTATCCCTGGGAGGTTTTGTGGAAATGTCCTTTATGCTGCTGAGCAGAAGGTGTTTGGTGACTTACCTAAGTTCAACATCAATTCATAAATCTTTATTTACAAAGAGATAAAGTTGAAGCTGAAGAATGATGTTTACTGCTTAGGATCAAATGTTTTATCCTGTTAAAACTAAGATACAGAATATAAACCAAGCAGTCTAGGACTCTCATGAAAGTGGTATTTCACCTTATAAGAGAAATTATAAAACAATTAAAAGCAATTAATGTCTCTGAATTACTTTGTCAGATTTGGAGATTCCTATTACTACTGAAATTCCTATTGCTACAGAAATGGTGTTTGTATCGGACTGTGAGTGATAATTAATTTTTCTAAAGAGGTAAATCCCAAACTACATGAACCTATTAGTCTAAAGACTGAAAAATTATATCTATAACATGAACATTTACCAATTTAAAATAAAACAATCACAATCCAAAATATGGAACTATGGGTGTTCAGTATCAGTGTGGAGGAGTCAGAGTCAATAACATGTTTAAAGACGATAAAAAGGAAACTGAAGAATAAAGATGAATGGGAAAGAAGTTGAAGAATAGAAGAAAGACAGGTGAAGGAATAAGAATCCTAAAGAAAAACTGAGGAGAATGAAATAATGATCAAAAGAATCATTGGTGGAACATGATACTTCTTAGGTTACCTTTATGGTTTAAAGCAATACACACATGCATTATGAACACCTGAGAGAGCTGATTTTACTTGAATTTTTATATATTGTCACTGCAAACATGCAAAGTAAAAGAAAAGCTGTAGGAAATAGTCACTGAGATGAAGAAAAGTTAAGAGTTTAAGCATGTGAGTGAATGGGTGTGGCAATGAGCTATGGTGGGTTGGAATGTATAGTTGGATTTCACTGGTAGTGATTCAGCTAACTGACAGGTGAGTCCTCTCCTAACAGAATTAGGAAATAAGTGATCAAAATATGCCTTTAGCCTCCATTTTACTTGTTCTTATTTTAATACTTATAAGCTTTTCGTATATGTAAAATTAAAGCCTGTGAGTGCAGGGAAACTTTTTGCTTTGTCCAGTGCTGTATTACATGAGTAAAACAGTGCCTATCTCATAGAAAAAGTTCAAGAAGTATCTGATGAATGAACTTTCTAAAAATAGGTAATAAATTGTTTATATGAGAAATAGATAGTAGCCTCCACAAATAGTAATTGCATTTTAAGGTACTTCAGAAGCTTGTACTTCTTGATGAAAACCCAGTTGTATAAAAAAGTGAGTATTTCAATAAGCGATGAAAGTCCCACCCATTCTGTAATAAACTTTTGGAATTATTACATATTATTGTTAAAGAATTCCTGATGACCCAAAGGAGCTTGTTTGGAGGAAAAGACCATGTGTTTGATTTCTCTGCCTTCTTAGGAAACACTGATGACTTTGGGGAGCTTGTAGGAGTTCTTCAGAAGCCAAGTTTCCATAGACTTTGTCATCTTTCCTATTGGAGATTCAAAATTTGTCAGTCATTTAGGGTTGGGGACACATATTTTCAAACAGGAAATGCAGCTATATATTAAGCAAAAAAAAAAAGGTGATTAGAATTATAGTTTTATATAGAAGCAGGAAAGAACTTTGAGATTTTACAGGTAGAACGAGAAGCAACACAGTGAAGTTAAGTGACTAACAATACATTCAAGAAGTCAGAATCAGAAGTCAGACCTCCTGAATTCTAGTTTAATGGCCTTTCTCAATAGTGCTCTACACTTTCTTAGTAGAAACAGTTTTTTAAAAAACCTGGAAGTATATATATTTGACAGCATCACTCTAACCTATTGGAAGAACCCTCTTATTCTTTAAGCTCTTATGTTGTTTAAAATAAAATTAGACTTCCCTTCATAAAAGATTGTTTCTTCTTTTTTCACTGGGTTTTGCTCTTCCCAGTTCCCTTTCTTATTTCTTCAAACAACCTTGAACAGTTCAATTTCAGAATTCATAGCCATCAGCACCTCTGTACCATGCCCTGGCATGAGGACAGAATCTTTCTGAAACTGAGATAGTCTCTCAGCCTAGGCATTGGCTGGAGTGTTCAAATGTGGAGGAATGTAATACCAAAAGAGAGAGAATCACACCAGAAAATGGGAGGTAAAGACTTCAGATTCCCTTTCTCTGGTTTGAAACTAAAGCTGGTTTTCAAATAAAATGGGAATAGCTGAGACCAGACATCTACTTTTCACAGTGGAAAATGAAGTTTGTAATAAATTGGAGAGCATGAAACTCAGAAACCTACGCATCTTAAAATAAACTTCACACTAAGTGGACAAATTGAAAATATCAAAGGGATGTGGATATGGGATTCATTTATAAGACATAATGCAATTTAATGATTGAAATTTGAAAATGGGAGAGAGTGGAAGAAAAAGATAAAATATTTCAGAAAGAAGATATTAGGCACAAGTATTTTACAGAAGACAAGAAATTGAAAGGGAGTTTAGAAGGATACAGAGATAGAAACGACCATGACAGGGAAAGCTTTGTAATTAAAACTTCTCTTTTACCTGCTTTTTCATTATATGATGTGCATTTTTAGGAGAAGGAGAAATTCAGATAGCTTAATCTTCATTTATGTAAATCATACCCCAAGGATAAAGCTATATATAAAATTCTCCCTAATGGAAAGGAAACTAATTGGCTGCACAAGAGAGTGATCCACTGATGCTGCTGAGACAGACAATACCCACCCCATTATTAGCTTCTCTTGGGGACTAGATCTCTGAGTCACACTATTTCCCCAAGAGAAAAGTATCAAAAGAATTGCCTGCTGATGAAATAGAGGGAAAGAAGAAAGGATCTGAGGTACTCTATAGGCCAGTAAAAAATCCCCATTGAGCATGGCTAATCTTAGGGTATGAATTGTTTGGAATGACTGAGATGATGGAGTGAAAATATATTCAGGGTGGACAGACATACCTTCAGTTATGGCACCATGAATGAAATTTGAAGAAATAAACCTAAAATCACTGATCTTTAAATATAGTCCCTATAATTGATAACAGATGAATAAATGGATCCTTCTCCTGTCTGTCAACCACAGCAAATGTTTACCTCTGGGTGCCCACACATGCTCCCAAACGTTAGGGTATTTGGGTGAAACTTTTCTTGAATGCTTTTGGCCTTTCGCCTTCTTGAATTGACTGGATTCAATTAAAACTTGTATTTTTCAGATCAATTTTTTTCATAGATATTGAAAAAATGAATACTAATAGAAAAAAAAAAGAGCTACTCTGAGTTGTCTGTAACAGGAATATGTTTCCCTGAGGGTGAGATGATCATTCAAAAAAGGACCTGTGTTGAGCCATCAAGACCAGCCTAGTGGATCTCAGTGGAGAAAGCTGGCTTTGTTATTGATATACAGACACAGAAAAATCTAATCTCCAGGTTATCAAGGAGGCCCGAAAGTGCAAAGGCTGTACCTTGCTTTACAGCGCCATTTGTTTAGAGCTGTATTTCATTTTCTCTTGTTCAGAAACGAAGAAAATGATTTTCTCTAGAACGGCAGCAGAATAAGAAATATTGGTTGAACCCAAATTAATTTTTTAATAATAGGAACATTAAAAATATATAAGCAAGATAAAAACTGCAGAATAAGATGGGCAGAAATACTTTTTAAAATTAAGATACACAGTCATATGAATCATTGTCTACATAAGATGAGATAAAACAGTTTAGGTGCTTAGAGAAAACACAACTACAGTGACATGAGAGGAAACTCTATTCTATTGCCCCCCACAGAGGTTTCTTCGGCAATGCAGTGGGCAGTACATAAATCATTTTATTGTTTTAATGTGCTCCTGGCCTGATGTGCCTTTGTTATAAGTGGGAAACTGGGGTACCAGGCAGAACAGTGTACTAAAATGAATGAGGGAGAACCTAGGAAGAAATAAGTTGTAGGGAGTTGGCCAGCCAGACACAGAACATGTTGTGATTTTAAGACCATCTCCTGAGGCATGGGTTTTCTTGGCAGCAGAAGGCTTTTGGACTAACAGGGAAGCCAGAGTTGTTAATGAAGAGTTCATGAGACCTAGAAGTACAAGAGAGGACAGAGATCAATAGTTTACAGGCTTCTTCACATAAGTTTGGCTCAAGATTGGAATTGGCCTAAGTGCAAAAGGAACTCATTAGTGGATTTCATCCCAGAGACTGAGGTGAGGGAGGCAGAGAAAATTAATTGAGAATAGAAAAGGAGAATAAAAGAAAAGGAAGTTCTCTAGTCATATGACCTGTGATTGAGCATAAGAAGAAAGCTGAAACATCATTCAATACATTAGTCACATTGCAAAATTTTTACTCTGTTATATTTATGATGTGATAGAAGTGAACATGACAAAATCCTTCTCATGTGAAACTTAAAATGTAATGAGGAAGGCATACATTGAATGAAAAATTTTGAGAGTTGTTAATGTTACAAAAGTGGAACTAGGTAGTTCTAGAGGAATATACAATGGAAGGAACTCTTGTGGACTCAGGTTCCGGGAGGCCTCCCTGGTAAAATGAGGCAAATGAAAGCTGAAGAATGAACAGATGTTAAGAGGCAAAACGTGAAGGACAAATACTGTATACAAAGTGATTAGCTGGTGGAAACCCTCAGAGTTTCCACTGTAAAAGAAAATCAAATTGGCTCTGCAATTGCAGGGAGAGAGTATGTTATTATCTGAGGCTGAAGAAAAGGAAGGAAGCCAGGTCTTGGATGGCCTAATACACCCTGAAAAGAAGTTTGTGTTTTAATTTAAGGGCAGGGAACCATGTGAAGTGTCTTAAGGAAGAGTAGGTTTGAGAAGAGGACGGCTAGTTTAGTTGTAGACTTGTTGAGTAGAAGATCTTACGTGGCATCCAGGGAAGCAAGAGGTTAGATTTGTGGATTAGGAACTCAAGAAATAGTACCAGGGCCAGGTGTCATGGCCTGTCCCTGTATTCTCAGCTACTTGGGAGGCTGAGGCAGGAAGATTGCTTGAGGCCAGGAGTTTGAGACCAGGCTCAGCAATACAGTGAGAGCTAGTCCCTTAAAAAAAAAAAAGAAAGAAAGAAAGAAAAAAGAATGAATGAATGGAAAAAGGAAAAGAAAAGAGAAAGAGGAAGGGAGGGAAGGAAATAACAATACAAGGTTTGAGAGCCCCTGGTGTTTAGATGATAATTAAAGCCAAAGTATCACTATCATAGTGATACTTAGAGATAGACTCTAAGTGAGAACAGGCCAAAGATGAGATTATGGGCAATGGGCCGATTGGTGGTTAAGCAGATGAGGAACACTCAACAGAAGACACAGGAAAAGACTTGCCCAAGAGGTAGGAAGAAAGCCAGGAAGCTGTGGCGTTCCAGAAGCCTGGTAGAGCATTTGAAGAAGTGAGAAATTAGCAGGGATTAAGAGAGGAAATTCCCATTCATGTGAATGATAAAGCTGTTATTCTGAGTAGAATAACTTAGGAAGGTTCTTGGAGAATCACAGGACAAAATAACATAGGCACCAGTTTCTCTTGATTGAGCAGTTTTAATTTACAATGCAGTAGAAACAAACACATGAAAAGAGTATGTTTAACTTCAATAGAGTTTTAATTTCAAAAGTAGAAATCTTCAATGAAATAGGATATGCCTCACCATTTCTAGATTTATTCTTATTTCAAAATACCAACCACAGATGTATAAGCTCCAGGGAATTTTTTGCCTGACTAGGAAATCATATTTAAGAAACCAGTACCTTTGTCAGATGGGTAGATTGCAAAAATTTTTTCCCATTCTCTTGGTTGCCAGTTCACTCTAATGATTGTTTCTTCTGCTATACAGGAGCTCTGGAGTTTAATTAGGTCCCAATTGTCTATTTTGGCTTTTGTTGCCAATGTTTTTGGTGTTTTAGTCGTGAAGTCCTTGCCTATGGCTATGTCCTGAATGGTTTTGCCTAAGTTTTTTTCTAGGATTTGTTTGGTGTTAGGTCTTATGTTTAAGTCTTTAATCCATCTGAAGTTAATTTTAGTGTAAGCTATCAGAAATGGATCCAGTTTTGCTTTCTGCACACTGCTAGCCAGTTTTCCCAACACAATTTATTAAACAGGGAATCCTTTCCCCATTGCTTGTTTTTGTCAGGTTTGTCAAAGATCAGACGGTTGTAGATGTGTGGCATTGCCTCCAGGGCCTCTGTTCTGTTCCATTTGTCCATATCTTTGTTTTGGTACCAATACCATGCTGTTTTGATTATTGTAGCCTTGTGGTATAGTTTGAAATCAGATAGCAGGATGCCTCCAGCTTTGTTCTTTTTGCTTAGCATTGTCTTGACTATGCGGGCTCTCTTTTAGTTCCATATGAAGTTTAAGGTGTTTTTTTTCCAGTTCTGTGAAGAGGGTCATTGGTAGCTTGATGGAGATAGCACTGAATCTATAAATTACTTTGGGCAATGTGGCCATTTTCATGATATTGATTCTTCCTAATCATGAGCATGGAATGTTCTTCATCTGTTTGTGTCCTCTCTTATTTCCTTGAGCAGTGGTTTGTAGTTCTCCTTGAAGAGGTCGTTTACATCCTTTGTTAGTTGTATTTCTAGGTATTTTATTCTCTTTGTAGCCATTGTGAATGGGAGTTTGATCATGATTTGGCTCTCTGTTAGTCTGTTATTCATGTACATAAATGCTTGTGATTTCTGCACATTGATTTTGTATCCTGAGACTTTGCTGAAGTTGCTTATCAGTTTCAGGAGATTTTGGGCTGAGATGATAGGGTCTTCTAAATATACAATCATGTTGTCTGCAAATAGAGACGATTTGACTTCCTCTTTTCCTAATTGAATACTCTTTTTTTTTTCTTGCCTAATTGCTCTGGCTAGAACTTCCAATACTATATTGAATAGGAGTGATGACAGAGGGCATCCTTGTCTAGTGCCAGATTTCGAAGGGAATGCTTCCAGTTTTTGCCCATTCAGTATGATATTGGCTGTAGGTTTGTCGTAAATAGCTTTTATTGTTTTGAGAGGTGTTGCTTCAATACCTAGTTTATTGAGAGTTTTTAGCATAAAGTGCTGCTGAATTTTGTTGAAGGCCTTCTCTGCATCTATTCGGATAATCATGTGGTTTTTGTCTTTGGTTCTGTTTATGTGGTGGATTACATTTGTAGACTTGCGTTTGTTGAACCAGCCATGCATCCCTGGAATGAAGCCTACTTGATGGTGATGGATACGCTTTTTGATGTGCTGTTGCAATCGACTTGCCAGTATTTTCTTGAAGATTTTTGCATCTATGTTCATCAGGGATATTGGCCTGAAGTTTTATTTTTTTGTTGAGTCTTTGCCCGATTTTGGTATCAGGATGATGTTGGTCCAACAAAATGATTTGGGAAGGATTCCCTCTTTTTGTATTGTTTGGAGTAGTTTCAGAAGGAATGGTACCAGCTTCTTTTTGTACATCTGGTAGAATTTGGGAGGTGGGGGAGGAATAACATGGGGAGAAATGCCAGATGTAGGTGACGGGGGGATGGACGCAGCAAACCACTTTGCCATGTGTGTATCTATGCAACAATCCTACATGATCTGCACATGTACCCCAGAACCTAAAGTACAATAAAAAAGTATCTCTG